CGGGTGTAGAAACCAACACTGGCATAGATTGTAAAGCAAAGATAAGTTGATTTCACTCTTTCATTGTATTGTTGTTTTCTTAGATTCTTCCTGACCCACAAAGCTGTTCTAAAGCTACAAAGCAAGAAACATATTTGATTTTTGTAAAAAAAAAAAAAAAAGAGAGAGAGAGAGAGAAAGAACTTAAATAACATCAAAGCTTCGTTAAACCATCTTGAGGGTGCACTTGCTTATGATCCAGCTGGACTTTAAGCTTCTCTCCATACCTGCCAAATTCAAGAACAGATTTCACCGAATTAATGGAACTTACTTTGAAATAAACACGTATCAGACTAACATTCTTGGTACTAAGAGTCCCAGCTGCCAATAGACTTCAGGTCATCCTTCTTCAACCTGGCGCCTCCAGATATATTGGACTTGAATTTGCAGAATCAGTAGTCAGCACAAACAGCCTTTCTACCAATTTAGCTCTTCTAAGGCGACTAAATACGTAATATGAAACTGAGACACTTTCCTATCAGCCTGTGCACTAAAAATATAAATTGGTTTCATGATCGTTTCCTTTTCTGAGGAAGGTCAGTGAAGACAGAATAAGCATGTGCCTACCTCCTACCAACTTTCATGTTTATTATAGGTCAGGAAAGTTAAACAGATATAGGGTGATCAGACGTCCGGCAAAAGGAGGACACGCCCTCCTTTTGTCCTCATGTCCTCTGTCCAGCAGGCATAGCCTTAAAAATCAAATATTTTCCAGCTTTTTTAGTATTTAACAAGCTTTCTCTTCCTGAGTAGCTTTTCCCCTTGATGCACTTCCCTAATAAGTACTAACCACAAGTTAACAGGCTCTGCTCTGTAACCTCAGGGCTTGCTCGCTGTCTGAAATTAACAAGACCTTAATCAGTTATAGGCTGAAGGCTTTTACCTCCTAATGCTGTAGAATGTTCCTGCTAGTGAAAAGCCAATCTTTCTGATGCTGGGAAAAAGTAATTTCATATACATGTAAGGCTAAGTACTTTTTTGCGGGGGGGCAGTTTTTCACTGTAATTTTTGTCACGGATGCCTAGAAAGTGAAACA